CTGCAAGTGGCCGGAAGTAATTATTGATCACGCCGTGGGGGTTAGCCGGGACAGATCAATATTTCTTGAAAGGGCCTGCGGTGGCGCTCGTGGTGTGAGGCATAGTTTTTGATCAATCGGAGGTCCAAGATAACTAATAATCCATGCGTATGTACGGAGACTGGTCGTCGTTCCACGATGATACGCAATTCATTATCTCCGGGCACCAATGTTCCTCTTGTTATTCGATACAATACCAACGACACTATTCTACACTGCCACCAAAATCATCCAAGTAAAATATATCTATGCGAGGTGATCGTAGAAAATGGAAGGTTTTGGCATCAGCCAGATCGAATGCAAGTACACATGCACCTGTGACATTCTACTGTATACATTACACTCGTCCGATAAGATTGCGCTTAATCCATGAAGGCTTATTTATCGAATAGGCTCTATATCTTTAAGTCTACAGATGCGCGTACAATAAGGAATGGATTCAGTGGTTTAAAAAGCGTCATTATAGCCATAACAAAAACGTTGGTTTTTAAAGGGACACTACGGCCTGGACAGTGCCCGATTGAGCAATGCATGATGTTTATCGGAAAGAGCATTGTATAACACAACTATCGTTTAAATCTGGGCGTTTTGTGTTATTCCGTGCAAGAACGAATTTCAGGGTTCCCCATTTGCGACCCCACCTCCAAAAAACTACCGATAGTTAAGTAAAGTGTTCGCTTTCTCCGGGCGTATGAGAAACTACATTGGCGTTCGACAGGAAAAACGATGTTAATTGATTATTGTAAAGAAGTCCGGCACTGTGGTACAACTAGGGTTCAGTGCATTCCTGTACAGACAGCGGTAAAGGGGTATTAAGGTGTGAAATCCCGGAAAATTTCATGTTTTGATTCTTATTTTCAAACATCTAATTAAACCATAATGTGTTATCGTTCCTGAGAAAGGATAAAAAAAACACGGTTCTCATCGGATGCATGACGGTGTACGCATACGTGTTTCCTGTCGAACGCCAATGTAGTTTCTCATTCGCCCGGAAAAGGCGAACACTTTACTTAACTATCGGTTGTTCGTTTTGGGGGGTGGGGTCGCAAATGGGGAACCCTGAAATTCGTTCTTGCACGGAATAACACAAAACGCCCAGATTTAAACGATGGTTGTGTTATACAATGCTCTTTCCGATAAACATCATTCGAGAAGCATTGCTCAATCGGGCACTGTCCAGGCCGTAGTGTCCCTTTAAAAACCAACGTTTGTGTTATGGCTATAATGACGCTTTTTAAACCACTGAATCCATTCCTTATTGTACGCGCATCTGTAGACTTAAAGATATAGAGCCTAATCGATAAATAAGCCTTTATGGATTAAGCGCCATCTGATCGGACGAGTGTAATGTATACAGTAGAATGTCACAGGTGCATGTGTACTTGCATTCGCTCTGGCTGATGCCAAAACCTTCCATTTTCTACGATCACCGTGCATAGATAAATATTTTACTTGGATGATTTTGGTGGCAGTGTAGAATAGTTTCATTGGTATTGTATCGAATAACAAGAGGAACATTGGTGCCCGGAGATAATAAATTGCGTATCATCGTGGAACGACGACCAGTCTCCGTACATACGCATGGATTATTAGTTATCTTGGACCTCCGATTGATCAAAAACTATGCCTCACACCACGAGCGCCACCGCAGGCCCTTTCAAGAAATATTGATCTGTCCCGGCTAACCCCAACGGCGTGATCAATAATTACTTCCGGCCACTTACAGTCCCATTGTCCGACAGAATACCTACTTACCACACGCGAGCGCACGTGCGTCAACAGTCCATTGTCCGAAGAGATTATCTGGGATCGATGCTCACTTCCTGTGCCACGGTACTGTCTATTGTCCGAGAGGATTAACTACTGCGACCACAGCTGGTCGTGTTCGGGTTGCGTAACCGCATGCAATACACGTGTAAATACATAACTACATGTATACTGTTAGGGCTAAGGTTAAAATATACTATAATTTTTTTTATATTTCACCCCCATACATATATGCAATCTTTCCCATAGAATAGGTCAAACTGTACTCGGTTCCTTACCCTCACCTATTTCCTATTCATCCCATCCATTCAAATAGGGGTCAAACTGTACCAGAAATTCCTAACCCCATTCATTCTTATTTATATCTGTATCTACATATTTATGAGACCTTTACATATTTCTATGCCAAGGTCAAAGTGTACCAGACAGTCCCCCCCCCCCCAACTACTGGTATGCACGCACATCATGTTTTTGTATAAATTTGGTGTAGGAGTGAAGTCGCAGGTAATGTCGGCTTTGAATGATGGGACCAGTTACATCACTCCCTAAGCAAATTTATGCAAAATAAGAACCAGGCCCATACTGCCAGGCAAAGCTGATTAAATCTGAACAAGAATCTGATTGAACAAGAATCTGATTGCCTCCAAACCTAGAGACCTTAATGTTAATATATCCTTGAGACGATTAACGTTGGAAATTCAAAATGAAAAGTGCAAACTGTAGTGATTTTTTTCAAGTGTTAGTCTCCAGCATCAAGCACAGAGGGTTAAGGGTTTATTGTCGGACGTAAAGAAAAAGAAAGGCCTGAACCACCCCGCCCCCTCACACACACCCAGGAGTGATTTAGGTTTGAAAGCACAACTATCTAACAAATAATCTACTTGAGCTACTGAAAAGTAGTATACTTTAGTAGTTTGGCATTTTTTTTTCTTTTCATTTCCTTTCTCAACAAGTATCCTCAAACTGCAGTAGCAGTATGTCAAGCAAATCAAACTATTTTTCTTTTTTGCTTTTTCTGAGTGGATGACAAGTCTGACCCCTTCATTTTTCACTTGTTTTGGTAGCTGATTGGTTCTTTTTGTCTACGATTAATGTTTTTAAGAGCTCCATTGTTGCAGCATCTCTTTCCATTCGTTGTTCTCTTTCTCGTTTTTCCAGATTAAATCTTTCTCACGATCCAAGCACAACTGCTCAAATTTCAACTCGGCCTTTGTACCATTTTCTTTCTTAGCACTTCCAAATACTCGGCAAGACTCGCCCGGGCTCCAGATTTTTTGGGCCGTTTATTATTATCTCTTTCCCCCCACTTTTTTCCAGTGTGTTGCTGCCTACTTGTGGTGAAATCAAGAGCAACTGAAGGCCCTAGCAAACACACCACTAAACTACCTCCTTCACGAGGATGCTGAACTGTCTGATACGCCCCTAGGACAAGTTCAGAGGAGATCAAGTCTTTAAGGGTCACATGACCTTGAAATTGCAGCCGACACACTTTCAGACCAGTATAATGCAACGTGCAAAAAATTGGAATCATAGCTTACTGTACTGTTGAGATATGGTGGCAACAAAATTGCCTCATTAAATATTCATGACGTCGCATCAAGAGAATTATGACATTTATCGTCACTGTACCTTACAAATAAATATAACTTTAGAATGTATAACTATATATGCAGCATTTCAGGCCAAACAACTAGACAGATCTCAAGATATAGGTCTAGGCCTATATATTTCAAGTCACTATTACATAACATATGATATCATGATGACGTCATATCAATTTTTCATCTATGACATCTATGACGGACATTTAAATGGATGTCGCACAACTTCAGATAATGGTTAATAGTGTAATTATAAAATTGATCGGATAAAAAAAAGTTTCCAAAGTGGATTGTACAAAAAACGTGTGTTAAACCTATGGGGAAAAAGTGGAAGAAGAAAAGAAGGGGGGGGGGGATTCTTAACTAAAACAATAGCTGTTCCCAATTGAAATTGGAAACAGCTAAATAGGCAACATACAACATTTGCAAACAAAATTGCTCTTTTTCAACTGAAGTTGGGTCAGAGAACCAGACTCCGCTGTAAATTATTTATATGAAATACTAGCCCCCAAATCAATCCTTTTCCGAATAGTAATATACAGCTAAAGCAAATGTTGCATATTCCCTTTACAAGTGATTAAGCAGTTATATTTAATGGAGATAGTTGAATAAATTGATGCCAACTTTGGACACATGTAAATTACTCTTCCTTCACTAAAACATCCTGAAAGGTTGTCAAATAGCAGCACACCAACCATATCTCATTAATATTCCCAAATATACTTACTGGAATTGTCCTGGCAACTAACTTGAAACTCTTGATTCTTTGGATTGCTCTCTCAATATGTACCCGGTGACTGGCAATTTTTCTGGTAAGCATGACGTCGGTTGGTTTCATTTGTGAAGACATGGAAGCTAATGGAGGCATGTTCAATTCCAGACCAATTTTTCTTACCTCCTTATCAATTCGAAAACCTTTATCGACCATGACTCCATCACCGACCTGGACTTTCCCATCTTTAATCAAATCTTGAAGGAGTTGGAAAACATGACCTTTCTGGAATAATTCATTATCAGATATAGACCCAGTGAAAAGACTAGTTGTAAACATGAACGAGCCAGAGGGATCTGTGACAACCAAAGCTTTCAGGTTAGGGCTAGATTTGTACTCGGAGTAACACTGTGACTGAGTTTTGAGAGAAGTCGGCCTTTCACATTTAAGCTCTGTGCAATCCATGATGACAAGTGTTGTGGGAAATTCTTCTCTAAACCTCTTGGGCATGCGCTCAATCAGGACATCTCTGTGTGGCCACAATGACAGACAGCCCAGCCTTAAGGACATATACCTGATCCAAGTATTAAAAATAATGCTAGCAATCTGAATACTAACATGGAACCTGAAAGCAAGATCCTTCAAATGGAATCCATTCCGCAATCTACACAAAACTAAGAACAGCTGGTCTTTCAAAGGCAATTTCATGCATGCTGATTTTCTTTCTTTGTACTCTAGGGGATTCCTTTTGACATCAGGAATGAGGAACTCAAACAACACAGTGAAAGTTGTGTGTTGGAACCCTGTGTAGTATTTAAGAAGATCCTTAACATTAGATTTCAAAACAGTCTCAAAACTGAAAGGTTCACAGTTAAAACACTTGTCTGATGGCTTACTTGATGATGGCCTGTTCACGGTTTTCTCCCCCTCATGCACCCCAACACCTTGGCAGCAAGATCCTTCTTCAAACCTGCATTTTCTCTTTCCAAGTCACGAATTGTTGAAGCTGCTGACAGTAGTTCAAGACCAGATTGTACTGCAAATAAAGAAAGAAAAACACTAATTTTTATTTTTATTTTTTTATTTATTTTTTCTACAGATAAATGACTTGGCGGAAACATCAAGCACAGTAACAACGCCAACTGAGGCACTCTGTGGAAACACAAGGTTCCCCCTTCAAACCACACTTATCCTCAACTCCGATTATGCTGATAATAATACTGCTACAGCTATAACCCAAGAGGAAGCAGAGGCACTGGAACAAGCAACTGTTCAACAGGCAAACTGCAGTCTATGGTATAAATGCAGAGAACAGAGACTGACTGCTTCCCAGTTTGGTTGGGTAATCACAAGAAAAAAGGATGTAAACACTAAGTTTTTAACTAGCTTGTGCTCTCCACAGGTCATACACAGTGAAGCAGTATCATACGGCAAAAAACATGAGAGTACTGCAAAGGAGGCGTATGTGAACAAGACCAACCTTCACATACACGATTGTGGCCTTGAAGTAAACCCAGCCTTTAGTTTCCTGGGGGCTACACCTGATGGTAAGGTGTGCGATGCGGGTCAAACAGGAATTCTGGAGGTAAATTGCCCATACAGTGCAAGAAACATGACTGTTGCAGAGGCAGTAGATGGAATCCCCAACTTCTACATGGCAAAGTCTGGCAATGGCTTGCAACTAAAGAAGACCCACCAGTACTTTCATCAAGTTCAGGGTCAACTGATGGTGACTGGAGCCCCATTATGTGACTTTGTTGTTTTTACAAGCAAAGATATCCATGTTGAAAGAATAGTGCCAGATACAGCAGTGTGGGAAGCCATGCTCAGTAAACTGGCTTTATTCTACAAGGAGCATGTAACACCATTTCTAGCTAATACTTGAAAATGAGAGAAACTTACACATGCCATGTTTAACTTCAGCAGGCTTTTTGTCAGGTACACTCGATAATTCCTTTTGATTCCTTTCATCAGATGACTGCCCACTGTAAAAAAAAACCCATAAAACAATCATAGAAATAACACGTCCTTAAAAGTTGAATTTAGCAGTGCGAAAATCGAAGCATTTACTTAGGAAACGCTACTGAGATTTTTTTAGAGCAGTCTCCTAGGTTTTGTGCACAGGGTGTCAAGTGTTGTCTGTGTATGGAACTCTTTCCATCAGAATATTTCAATGTTGAAGAAGATTACAGACCAAATTTTGAGAAGTTTTTGAGCATGTGTGCATTAAATGAAAACATGTGCATGCTGACTGCTCACTGCGCTGCCATTTGATTGGATGCAACATAGATTTATTAAGATGTCATGAAATGTAATTTAATGATGAATTTTTTCCATTAAAACCCTCCTTCTTTTTAGGCAGTCAAAGTCAGTCAAAATTTCCTTCCACTTCCCCTGCGATGCCTTTACACAGGAAGTCATAAACAGTCAGATTATTCCAAGCAGGCACTCTGACTGATCAAATCCAGTCAACAGACAAAAGCAGGAAGGTGGTGGCACATCTGTATCAAGTTACGAAAGCAGTCACAGCCAGTCAACCTTGCTTATGGAGGCTGGAAGTTCTTAACTTCCATCAGTCACTTGACTGATAATGTAATTGACTGCACAAACAATGTAGCACAGGATGTGTGTTTGCATAGGAGGGTTAATTGCATGAGAATTCGTTCTTCCCAGTAATTTGTTTAAAATATTTTAAACTGTGCCACAGAGCCTTCAGAAGATGTTCATAATGGAAATGGAAGCTTTGCACAATTGCCACATTAACCTACCTGTTTTCTAGGTTAAGAATACGTTTGAGTGGAGGCCTCCTGGCTTTAAAGATGGCACTCCCATCTGCCGGTATGGGGTCTGGATAGATTGAGCTTGGTTCTTTGAAATGATGTGGAAAGATGTGGTACCGGTACTAAAGTTTATAATTTGGTTTTGTTTTTATTTAAAACCCTGAACCTGTAAAAGTCTAAAGCTCATTGTAAATTTGAACTGGGCCAGCTCATTGGGTATTTTCAAATGAAAATAACAGAAAGAGTTCCATACTCAGACAACACTTAACAGTGTTTTTTAAGTACCAAGTACCAGTGAATCAATGCTTTAAGTTTTTCACAGCTAAATTTGACTTTTTAGGACATGTCATTGCTTTTCATGGCTGATAGGTCACTATAGGGAAAAATGAGCGTTGTCCGTGTATGGAACTCTTTTCTTCTTTATTTATATTCCAACAATAACTCAATAATGTCAACTTATTGTTTATATTATAGAATCTCAATTCTGTAGACCACATACAGGGTTTTTGCAATATTGCCAAGCTTGGTAATTTTAAAGATTTATTAAATTTATAATTTATAAAATGAAATTTGTTATTATGAGTTGCTTTTATTGTGGTACTTATTATCTAGACCCACTCCACTCTAAATTCTATGCTTAGTGCTAGAACTACTTTTTTCCGAATTTTAGGTTTGGTCTAAAAAGTGTCTGTGTTCTGTGACTGTCCAAAGTGTCATCATGTCTGTCGCTATGACACAGACCAAAACTAAAATTCGAAGACCTAGCGACCCAGACTAGTTCTAGTTGGACTATCCTGCATTGTAATTTCTTAACACCCCGGCCCCCTGAAAAGAAATTTGCTGAGAGTACTGACTGACATGACTGACTGATGACCAAACTCCTACCTTGGAACACACGTATTTGTCCTTGTTGATTTTGTACACATTCAGATCTGAATGGGGACGTCCACAGGCTTTAATCCATCGTAAACATTTTTCACGGTTTGATTTTGTTTTTGGGAAAGGGAAAAAGATTACTTTATGACGTGGATCCGGATGCCTGGTGTCTGACTTACATGTACCGTAGCAACATATTTTGACCATGTTTTTAAATTCACAGAAAGCCCCATTTTACGTTGAAAAACGATGCCGCGCACCGTCGACCCCCATTGGTTTGTGTACGTTTTTACACTGCATGTGACCGAGTTTGACCGAGGTCATGGCGGATCACGACAGTTAGCAACGGTTGTCAAGTTTCCGTGGTCACCTGACCAAAATGCGTTATCTAATTGGCTAACGCGCACTGTTTGATTAACAGGCCGGAACGGTCCATACACGCTACGCGCATTGACGAACGCGCACACCAGCATGCATTTGCACTAATACCGCGGCATAGAACAAAGATGATCTTATAACTGTCAAATAGTATTTCCAATTCCCCATGGGCGAATGGGAATTTTTGAGCCCCGGCGTGAATGGGAGTAATTAACGAATATCACGTGATGTGAGTTCCACCAAGCATATGACAAGGATCTGTATGTCAAGATATATAATACAACTTAATCAGCTCTACAGTGCCAGTTTATTGTTTATTTACGAGAGTCGACTGTGCACATTGGAATTTGGTTGATAATACTTTAGCTTGAAAACAAAAACTATCCTGACAGTCAATAAAAGGTGTTCACTTTTTGGCATGTCCATTGTTTTGTATTGTTCTTCTATAGGTCAAATACATGTACATGTACACGTATAACATATACATGTAGAACACTTGAATATTGTCTACTTTGATTTCAGGAAACGTATTATTTCAACCAGATATGATGCATTTGAAACACTGCGAAAAAAAACCGGACTGTACTTTTCATTGACCGCAACTGTCCGCTCTGGCTACAAGTACCCCCCCCCCCCCTACAAATTTAGACAAGGGCTGTTGGTAGGGAAAATTTCAACCTGGTGCATTGTGCACAGGCAAAGACTAACTGGCGACATGTTGTCACGAGTCCAACACCAAACTTGTATGAACCGATGCACACCCTAGAAAAAGGGACGTTGTTACTATGTAAAAAAAAATGCTATCTTTTGTTCCTGCAAGGAGCGGATTGGGTAAAAATTATTTCAAGTTTCCAAAAATGTCAAGTTTTCTTTTGGTGTCCATTTTTTTGTGTATTTATTACGATGTTTGAAAAGTTCTTTTATCTTTTAACTTCACAGAATCCTGATGCCAACAAGACAGCAGCAACACCAGATGAGGTCAACAACGCCGACTTTGATGACTAGCAGATCCAAACTGAAAATGATTGGTAATTTAGTAATTTAGGGTGTTTGTTTGATCCCAATTTCAATAACGTGAATTGCGGAATTAGCGTTCCAATCCTGGTCTGAGGGCCCCATTTAGGGTGTTTGTTTGATCCCAATTTCAATAACGTAAATTGTCTGCATTTGGCAAACATTTAAGAGTCAATAGAATGGCTCATGAAGTCATAATGACCTCACTTCATTTTGGCATTTCTAGTGGATATCCAACACATGCCAAGTTTCATTATAATCAGAATTTGTCGTATGTGTGTGTGTTAAAGACTGCATATTTCATTAATTCATCATGATGTTCATAATTTTGCTGACTCCTATGGAATTTACATGAAAGTAGACATCCAAAAAAAGTTCTATTATACTGAAAAAAAAAGATTGGCTTGCAAACCAAAACAAAAACTTGCCAAACAGACAGTGTTAACAAGATTTAATGTTTCGTTTTTAAAATAATGTTTTTTTCAATCAAATTGCCTGGGCATTGGGCCCTCAGGCCAGGATTGGAAACAACAACCCCCCCCCCCCAAAAAAAAATAGAATATATTTGAGCTTCCAGACCTGAAACAATCTTGCCAAAAAGTGTTCATGTATATGTTAAGTGTGCTAATCTACTTCTTCCTCAATATGTACATAAGAGCACATAAAAGATGGTGCTACATTATTTACTCTAATACTTGGAAGAATTAGGATATATTTGGGCTTTCAAACTTAAACCAACTTGCCAAACAGTATCCATTTACGTGTAGAGTATGGTGTGCTAATCTACTTCAATATATGACTAGTACTAACCTAACTAGTACACATCAAATATATTTGGGATTCCAAACCTAAAACCAACTTGCCAAATTGTGTTAAGTGTGCCAACTTACTTCTTCCTCAATAAAAGAAAATCAGACATAAAAAAATGTAGTGCTCCTTTTTTCTTACTAGGACGAATATATTTATTTGGGTATTCAACATTGACTCATTATACTACGAAGTAAAAGGTAGTTTCGCTTTCAAACCCAAAACCAACTTGCCAAACAGTGTATATTTTTACAGGTGGTAATTAAAAAGTTAGTGAAGATGTTTGTCTGGACATAGTTGTTAATACGATATTTAGTGTTATTATTGGCCTTTATGAAAAATCCCGAAGACTTGCATGTACATTGTATTATTTTACTTGTAATTTGTAGTTGTTTGAGATATACATGGAGGTTAATGAACTATGAATAAGCATGCATGACCAGCGAACTTTAACACACTTAAGCAGTATCAATCTCCGATTAGTAGCCTATGACGTAGGAGCCAAATTTGACATCATTTTGAAAGACGTTGAATGGCCTCCATTTCATTAAATAAATTCAAGAGTGGGAAGACTTTAGTATCCTGACGCCATCTCAGCGGTCATCTATGGCGAATCAAGAACATGTATCAAGTGTTTCCTAGCAGAATTGAAAATGTTTCTCAGTCCCGTTATGTTTCTCAGACCTATCGAGATGATACATGTACCTGTATATGAAGAAAAAAGTGGCGTCAGATTGAAACATTCTGTCCATTTAACGACCATGAAGCATATGTGTTATATGGTTCTGCTTGAATTGCAAAAAATAGCATCGTAGTTAAGTTTTTTTTGTATTCGTATAAGTGTTTGATATACACACCTTTATAACACGGTCGATGAGACTTTACAAATTACATTGTTATATAAAGGGAAAATACAACATTTGCAAACATCAAAAAATAAAACTACCAAATCATTTTGAAATACCTTGCTGGACTGTTGGTGAATGAAAGTGTAAAGCATCCTGTAAAATCATGGCACCTGGTATACTGTCATTTTCAGGAAAAATGGTATTTTTGTATCAATTTCCAACGCTGATCGGCCGACCAGCGTTGGAAAAAACTGGCTTTTTTTTCAAATACTGGCCCCAGTTGACATCGCACTTGTTTGCAATCGATTACACACCGATGAACGGGTACAAGCCAGCTAGACTGGTTCCCTGACCTTACAATTCCCCAATGTATGTAAACTGCTCTGTTTCTTCTTAAATGGAGTCAGGGAACCAGACTACAGAAAAATGATTGTTTGTCTTGGTTTTTATAGCATTTTCGAACCCAAAACCTCAAAAAAGTCAGTGTAACTATATTTGCTATATATTTCCAACCCCCCAATTCCATCAATTTCTGAAAATTAAAGCAAAAGCAAATGATGTATATTCCCTTTAACAAGTACGGTACTTTGTATTTGCACTATTGGAAAACAAACTGTTGGGCCTAATATTTTGCTTGTTATATAAGCGGAATGTATCAGAGGGCTCTTCTTATCAGGGTTCAACTTTAGTTATTATATAATAAAAAAGTTAAATAAAATGGCTGATAAGTTAATTCAGTTTGTCGTATTTGTCTTTTTTCATTACTTTGTCACAGTGCACATAATGAGAGTTCAAACAGTAGATTTTTCGATCTTGCCAACGTCCTCTGAAGGTGGTATGAATGTTATTTCGTAACGTTTGCCTGTAACGTTACAAGAACGTCTCTTGCCAACGTCCTGTGAAGGTTGTACAAATGTTATTTCGTAACGTTTTTTTTGTAACGTCCAAAGAACGTCAAGAGAACTCTACACAATTACGTTCCCATAACGTTATTTTCAAACGTCTCGGGAACATTACCGTAATGTATTGAGAACGCTTTTGCAACGTTTTTTGGTTAGCTGGGATGTTGCTGGATGAATTGCTGGTTCTAGGGTCATTTGTTCGCTCGTTCTGGAAGCTGGTCTTTATATCACATATTAATACACCCCCATGTAATCGAGTCTTGGCCATTCAGAAGCCACGGACTGTCCAAGGTTTTTTTTAATTTCTGCTACTGACAGATGTTCTCCTACAGTGTATATGGGTACACACAGTGATGCTGCTGCAAGATGCAAATATTTTGATGGCCAAACTGATCTGTTATGTTAAGATATGGTAGCCCTGTTTAATGCACACCTGTAATAAGATATTACTGAAGCTAATAAGTTAATTTAATAAAATCTAACCTTGGCACATCTCTTAGGGAAGTTAGAACCTCTCTGTTTGCATGTCAAATCTAAATAGGAACTTAAATTTCACAATAATCATGTATTTATCCAACAGCTTCCTCAGGAGAGGACTATGTTCCAGAATCATCATTAGATGATGATGATGATTATGATGATGATGACGAATGCAGTGAAGCCATGGAAGGTACCCAAAATCTTTTAATGCTTTGCCATTCAATTTCTCATTTATTTTTTTTCTTCTTGTCGTGTATTCATGTCTTATTCGTGTTTTGTGTAATTGGCTCTTTGAGTACACAGGGGCGGATCCAGGATTTTCAAAAAGGGGGGCACACATAACGAGACAAGCGCGAAATCCCTTGCGGGCGGGGTTGAGGGTACTGGTAGCTTTACGATTTTAGATGTTCTCTTCTACATCATAAGTATTTTAAGCCATTAAGAGTATGTCCACGAGAGGACCATGCAGACCGTGTCAAGGTGTGGGTTGGCGGATTTGGTTAACATTTGGGGGGTAGGTGGGTCATAGGTAGCCTGGAGGTTGTACAAAATATTGGGCCAATCTGACCTCCGTAGCAGTATAAAGAGCCAAAAATGTGTTTTTTTCCTACTGAAAAATGGTGATTTTTATGATTTTGGGGTACAAAAGTTTAAACGTTTGCTGCTCAACAGGGGAAAGCAGCAAAGAAATGAAATTTGCAGGGTCCTGAGGTTGTATTCTGACCTAAACCTGGAACTCAAAATTTAGGGAAAAAATGCTCTTAGGAGGCAACGGCACTAAGGGTACCCCCAAAGTAGAGTCATAGAAATAGCTATCTTTAAGTCGCCGTAGCGTCATTAGTGCAGGTCTTTGAACAATGACACTCAGGTGAAAGAGAGTTCTTATCATGGTCTTTAAGTATCAAGAATAAAAACATTGTGAGCAGTTTTTAGTATGAAATGGCAGGAGCCTGCTTTAACCCTATACAGTGCCCCCACCCCCTTTTCTGTTTTTTCAAAAGTCGACAA